CACTCTCACTGCTCCTCTCCTGAACAACATGAACTTGTCCAGCAGAGACTCCTGAGCTCCTGAACCGAACAGAACTGGACCCACAAAGGTGATATCTGCGTTAGTGCTGCCCCCTGCTGACGACAGGCGACACATGCAGGAGAAGAGCAGATGCAACACATGTAGTAAATGCTGGATTCATAGATGCTCCCTGACCTGAACATCTTTGCTGCTGCTTTTCTTTATAGCTTTTCTTTATAAGCTCACAATAAGCTGTTTCTTGTGGTTTCAGGTATTAAGATGAAAGCACTCGGCTGCTGTTTAACGCAGAGAAGAAGCTGGACCGCAGCTGAACCTTTACCTTCAGGAGGCCTTTCATCTTCTCGTGCAGCGCCTTGAACTCCTCCTGCGGTAGCTCCGGGTACAGCTCCGTCTTCAGCAGCTCCTCCGTGATCTCGCTGTTGTTGTAATAGACTTTTTGAGCTATTCCGTTCAGCAGACCGCTCAGAGACTTCGCAGCGTCCACCTCCGCCATGTTTGGCTTGTCAATACGGTCACGTGAGAAGGGTGGATCACATGATGGGAAATCGGTTGCAGCGTGGCATTGTGGGAGTTGTAGTTTCACGCGAGTTTCCCCTTTTCACCACAAACTCAAAAACTGTGTTTAGAGTAGTGAGAGTGTCGAATGACAAGCCTTAGCGACATTATTGAAAAAAAACAAATGTATATACAAAATATAAAATAAATAAATAAAAACAGTTTATTGTTATTTTTATTATTATTTATTTTTATTATATTTCTACTTGTATTAGCCTTTTCTTTCATGGATTCATTTTTGATTAATATCGCTTTATATTGCCACATTATTTTTTATTTTACTTTTTCTTCTTTTTATTTCCACTTTTATTTTATTATTCTTTTATTGATTTATTTTTGTAATTTGGCACTCTCACGACTCCACAGCTGGGTTTCAAAAACCGTAAAGCTGCATGACGCATCCATTACATGGTCCTGATGTGTCGGATCTTTGAAGGGAACGATGCTTTTTTCTCTATATGTTCTTTTCTGTTCAAGTTGCACGTGATTAGTCGACCATGTGACGTGAGGCTGCGTCTGTGTGTCTGAGGCGGTGTTGCCAACTCCTCAGTCAGGAAAGTAGCTAAATATGTTTAGAACTACAAATGAACTGTCATCTGTTGATTCTTGGTTTATTTCATTATTTTTTAAATTTTGTCATTGAAATAGGCCTTCACTTCTCACAATAGCTTCATGACTAATGCTTTATCTAGACCCACATTAAATGTAAATGTTAAAATATCAAATTTAATCAAACGACTGTAATGTGAAACTGGCACCTTAACGACCACCCCTCTTCCTTTATCTGGGTTTAAGACCCAAAGTGACCCAAAGACACACTCTGGCAGAGGTTCTTAGGGTTTTTGTTTTTGTTTTTTAGTTGTTGGATTTTTTATTTATTTATTTATTTTTTTCTGATATGATGAGCTAGCTAGCTAGATGTTTAGCTTATGTCACAGAGGGACACACAGTGGGCAAGGTGAGTCAAATGGTTTATTTTAATGTGACAGTGAAGAAACTTTAACATTCAGATCTCCTTCTGTAAGCCAAGCTGGGATCAGCGGCGGCTTGGGGTCTCGTCTGATCCGACCGTGGCTGCGCACGACTCCTGACTGCCTGGAAGAGCTTCGGGATGGGAGGAGCTCACAGCGGCACCTGCTGCTCATTGAGGACAGTAACGGCACAACAATACGTGCTTTTCCTGGCCCCTCTGAGTGTCAAAGTGTCCTTGGTCAGTTGGTCAAAACACTGAACCCGAAGTTGCCCCAGAAGCCTGGCAGGCACCGTGCGTGTCAGCATGTAAATGAAAGTATTACAAAGAGCTTTGAAAGTAGAAAAGTGTTTAGAAGTGCAACACGACCAACATTATTTTCCAACTGAATGAATAGTACTGTAATGCAAGAATTCCCAAATGATTGACATACAGACAAAGCATAATGGATGCTAAGCCAAGCTTTAATGAGAAAAAACAACACAGTAGATGATTTCATAACACTTTGCATAGGTACAAACCATTTTTCCTTTGCTTTAATTTGATCATGTAAAGAACATCACTGGAAATACAATGAAAACTTTGATTTTAGTAACTTCCAGTAAGTATTTTAGTAACTTCCAGTAAATATCATTAGTGGTCAATTCAGAGAAAAAAATGCAGTTTTATGAAGCAGAGAGTACCATTTGGACTGTTACTCATATTATCAGATTCTTACAGCTGTTGCCGTTTTCTACCCCCTACGCCCGCCTCTACGCATGCCACCTCTTCTGCGACCGCCTCTACGCATGCCACCTCTTCTGCGACCGCCTCTACGCATGCCACCTCTTCTGCGACCGCCTCTACGCATGCCACCTCTTCTGCGTCCGCCTNCGGGGGCCGGAGACGGCGGAGCCTCCCGGAGAGACGGACTCGGGCCGGGGGGCGGAGAAGGTGGAGCCCCACGGGGGAGAGGACTCAGGTCGGACTGGAGACGGCGAAGGCTGAGCCCCTCCGGGCGCCGGACTCGGGCCGGAATGGAGGCGGCGGCGGCCGAGGCCCTCTGGGGGCCGGACTCGGGCCGCACTGGCGACGGCGGAGCCCCTCTGGGGGCCTGACTCCGGCCGGACTGGAGACGGCGACGGCGGAGCCTCCCCCGGTGGAGCCGGACTCGGTCCGGGAGCCGGAGAGGGCGGAGACAGAGGAGCCCAACGACGGAGCCGGACTCAGGCCGGGGAGCCGGAGAAGCCTCACGGGGGCCGGGGACGGCGGAGCCCCGCGGGGGAGCCGGACTCGGGCCGGGGGTCGGAGAAGCCTCCCGGGGGCCGGGGACGGCGGAGCCCCCCAGGTGAGCCGGAGAAGCCGCCCGGGGGCCGGAGACGGCGGAGCCTCGCGGGGAGACGGACTCGGGACGGAATAGAGACGGCGACGGCAGAGCCCCTCTGGGGCCTGACTCCGACCGGACTGGAGACGGCGACGGCGGAGCCTCCCCCGGTGGAGCCGGACTCGGGCCGGGGGTCGGAGAAGCCTCCCGGGGGCCGGGGACGGCGGAGCCCCCC